ATGTGACGTAATAACTCAATATAGTCTACCAGCCGAGACTCTTCTTTATGTGTACAGATGTGACGTAATAACTCAATATAGTCTACCAGCTGAGACTCTTCTTTATGTGTACAGATGTGGCGTAATGACTCAATATAGCTTACTAGCCAAGACTCTTCTTTATGTGTACAGATGTGGTGTAATGACTCAATATAATCTACTAGCCGAGGCTCCTCTTTATGTGTACAGATGTGGCGTAATGACTCAATATAGTCTACTAGCCGAGACTCTTCTTTATGTGTACAGATGTGACGTAATGACTCAATATAGTCTACTAGCCGAGACTCTTCTTTATGTGTACAGATGTGACGTAATGACTCAATATAGTCTACTAGCCGAGACTCTTCTTTATGTATACAGATGTGGCATAATGACTCAATAAAGTCTACTAGCTGAGACTCTTCTTTATGTATACAGATGTGGCGTAATGACTCAATAAAGTCTACTAGCTGAGACTCTTCTTTATGTATACAGATGTGGCGTAATGACTCAATATAGTCTACTAGCTGAGACTCTTCTTTATGTATACAGATGTGACGTAATGACTCAATATAGTCTACCAGCCGAGACTCTTCTTTATGTGTACAGATGTGACGTAATGACTCAATATAGTCTACCAGCCGAGACTCTTCTTTATGTGTACAGATGTGACGTAATGACTCAATATAGTCTACTAGCCGAGACTCTTCTTTATGTGTACAGATGTGACGTAATAACTCAATATAGTCTACCAGCCGAGACTTTTCTTTATGTGTACAGATGTGACGTAATAACTCAATATAGTCTACCAGCTGAGACTCTTCTTTATGTGTACAGATGTGGCGTAATGACTCAATATAGCTTACTAGCCAAGACTCTTCTTTATGTGTACAGATGTGGTGTAATGACTCAATATAATCTACTAGCCGAGGCTCCTCTTTATCTGTACAGATGTGGCGTAATGACTCAATTTAGTCTACTAGCCGAGACTCTTCTTTATGTGTACAGATGTGACGTAATTACTCAATATAGTCTACTAGCCGAGACTCTTCTTTATGTGTACAGATGTGACGTAATGACTCAATATAGTCTACTAGCCGAGACTCTTCTTTATGTATACAGATGTGGCGTAATGACTCAATAAAGTCTACTAGCTGAGACTCTTCTTTATGTATACAGATGTGGCGTAATGACTCAATAAAGTCTACTAGCCGAGACTCTTCTTTATGTGTACAGATGTGGCGTAATGACTCAATATAGTCTACTAGCTGAGACTCTTCTTTATGTATACAGATGTGGCGTAATGACTCAATAAAGTCTACTAGCTGAGACTCTTCTTTATGTATACAGATGTGGCGTAATGACTCAATAAAGTCTACTAGCCGAGACTCTTCTTTATGTGTACAGATGTGGCGTAATGACTCAATAAAGTCTACTAGCCGAGACTCTTCTTTATGTGTACAGATGTGACGTAATGACTCAATATAGTCTACTAGCTGAGACTCTTCTTTATGTATACAGATGTGGCGTAATGACTCAATAAAGTCTACTAGCCGAGACTCTTCTTTATGTGTACAGATGTGGCGTAATGACTCAATATATTCTACTAGCCGAGACTCTTCTTTATGTGTACAGATGTGACGTAATGACTCAATATAGTCTACTAGCTGAGACTCTTATTTATGTGTACAGATGTGGCGTAATGACTCAATATAGTCTACTAGCTGAGACTCTTCTTTATGTGTACAGATGTGGCGTAATGACTCAATAAAGTCTACTAGCCGAGACTCTTCTTTATGGGTACAGATGTGGCGTAATGACTCAATATAGTCTACTAGCTGAGACTCTTCTTTATGTGTACAGATGTGGCGTAATGACTCAATAAAGTCTACTAGCCGAGACTCTTCTTTATGTGTACAGATGTGGCGTAATGACTCAATATATTCTACTAGCCTATACTCTTCTTTATGTGTACAGATGTGACGTAATGACTCAATATAGTCTACTAGCTGAGACTCTTCTTTATGTGTACAGATGTGACGTAATGACTCAATATAGTCTACCAGCTGAGACTCTTCTTTATGTGTACAGATGTGGCGTAATGACTCAATAAAGTCTACTAGCCGAGACTCTTCTTTATGTGTACAGATGTGACGTAATGACTCAATATAGTCTACTAGCCGAGACTCTTCTTTATGTGTACAGATGTGACGCAATGACTCAATATAGTCTACTAGCTGAGTGAGACTCTTCTTTACGTGTACAGATATGGCGTAATGACTCAATATAGTCTACTATCCGAGACTCTTCTTTGTGTACAGTTGTGTTGTAACGACTCAATATAGCCGACTAGACAAGACTCTTTTTTGTGTACAGATGTGTCGTAATGACTCAATAGTCTACTAGCCGAGTCTCTTCTTTGTGTGTAGTTAAAAAACATTATTACCAGCTTATCGTTTTGAATCAGACTAAGGCAAGCAGAGAGTTTTGAACACTGGCTGGTTATCGGATCATTTTTAACCCCAAAAAAGCTACGGACTGCAGCTTTAAATAGAAAAAAACAAATTTTTCTTTAAAGTAACTTGTAGCATATTTTCCTTTCCCTTATTTTCCTTTCCATAAATTGGCAACCCTATCATTGACCCACATATAATTATTTAAAAGTCTGCAAAAATGTCTATATAAGTTTTTACATATAGGGCAAAAATGAAGCTTCTTGCCAAATGTTGCATTCTCCAACACTGCATTTACCTCAGTTTCTGTATCCAAAACAGACGTACAGGTCTCTGTTTAGTTAAGGTTTCTGGATGACACCACTTCAAGTGTAAAGGCTATGGGAAAACTTAAGGAGAATGGAAAATAGTTGGGGACAGAGCTTGAGCGGGTTTTAGTCTCACCGCAACTCATTATTAGCTTAATCTCGAGTTCAGCTCTTAAGAGCAGTGCCTACCATAACAATGGCCTGGCGTGTCCCGGCGAGCGAGTATTGAGTTTCCCCGCTCATATTTTGGTACGTGCAGTGTGGTCACACATGATGTGAGGCCTCGGTGAAAGAACGGTTCATATTTCCGCTTTTATTAGCTGCTTGATTCGCCACAAACGAGTGTGCAGTCCGCAGTTTAATTGAACATGTTGTCCATGAGACACAGATGAGGTGCTCTCTAAGCCTCATTTACAGCGTTGCACAACTGAGCCTTTCTGGCTCAGTTCCTAAACTCGACGTTCCTGGACTCTTTCATATCGTTGTCTTCTATTCCCCCCTCTCCTCGCTTTTTCTCTCTGTCTCTCTCTCTATTTTTACAACATTAATTCTCCACTACCTCACTGACGAAAAATCCTGCTTACGTTCATTTCCCACAAAACAATCCAAGGGTGCACAGTTAGTCAGCAAACCATCAATTACTTACGTAAAATTACTGTAACGCCTTAAATTGGTTTATTGTTTACATAAAACATCAGCGACAGCAGTCAAATAAAAGACACCATTGTTCAATAAATAGCACATTTATTCATAAGAATAATTATGGGTAGTGTATGACCAAACTCCAAATATAGGCTATACAGAGGCTATACAAATATATACTGTATATATAGTGATAATGTTAATTATTGAAAAAAAAAAATGTCTGCAATCTTAAGTTAGCTTCACATTATAATACAATTTTGTAAAAATAAATAATATTCACATACTTATTGAATGAGTCACATGCCACAATATACATGACATTAAATATCTATATAAATCTAAATCTACAATCTATATACATATAAAGACGTTGCTCGGCAACTGTAAACTGCTAAACACTGCTTGCATGTACGTCGCATAATAACAAGTTCTTCCTCGTCTTGACTTGTTTGGGACAGATTTAGCACTGTATTTTTCCTTCATGCTTCATTGTTGCATATGTAAATATTAAAAATACTGTCAACAGTTAGATCTGATATACAGCCTTTAGGAAAAGAAGTGCACTTTAGCATACTTTTAAAAAGTGTACTTGTGTACTTACACTGTAAAAAAAATATTGTTGGTTTAACTTAAAAAATTAAGTAATCTGGTTGCCTTAAAATTTTAAGTTCATTGAAATGAAAAACATTGAGCTAAGACAATGAAGGAGATTGATTTAATCATCAGAAACTCAAAATTTTATGTTATCTGAACTACGGAAATTATTTAAGTTGATTTGACAAAAGAAAAAATGTTGTGATTACAAATCATGAAAATATTTTTTTACAGTGGAATGTAATGTTTTCAGACACTTAAATGCATGTTATGTTCAAATAAGTTAAAATGTATATTAAATGCAATTAGATTAACTTTAGAATGTTTTGATCCACATTTTTCTGTGTAATTTTATAATTGAATTGTCTTTAAAATGTGGTTAAAGTGTACTGCCAAATGCCAAATAATTGAACTATTTGTAATAATTAAGCATTCAAAATACATTAAATTGAAACGTGAAATCAAATAACACAATACGTTACATGTGTGTTAGTGCATGCTTCCTTAAAGACATTATTAAAACAATGATTTTTAATTTAAAGTAAAACTATGATGATTATAAAAGCACTATTTAAGTGTCATTTTATATATATATATATATATATATATATATATATTCTTAACGTATACACTTCTAATATTTGAAGTGCACATTCAATATAATTAAGTATACACTTATTTTTGTACTAAGATCAACACGATTTTGACATTTCAGGGCCAGTGTTACATTAGTCGCCCACATCATCCTAGTGCGAACCCTTAGGATTGGCATGCTTGCCGTTTCTCACACCCTGGATTCATTTACGAGTCATAAGAACAACAGCAAAAAAGGCAGTATGGTTCGAGTGCCAAAAACTGAATGCTGCTTTTCCCCCCGCCGATTAACCCTTGTAAGAAAAACACACATTAGTGCAGTTTGCCACATCAAAGGGGCCGTTCGGCTTCCTAGAGGAGCGCTGGGGAAAGGAAAGGAAAGGAAAGGAAGAAAAGAAACAAGGAAGAGCAGTCTTCTAAAAACAAAACCGCCGGATTTGTGAGAGAGGTCGAGGGGCTTCCTGGCCCTGTGTGGTCCCGCGCCGTCAGCGCGAGCCTATGAGCTGTCTGGGGCCCTGGCTTCACACACACCCTGGGTTTAAAAAGCAGGGGCTGGAGGTTTGCTGGAGACACTCCTTCCCAGCGTCGAGGTGCACTGAAGTCTCTCCGTCTCTCCTCGTCTCGGGATGTGTTGGGTTTATAGCCGGGCCCCCGGGGGTCTGCTCCTCTTGGCCCTCCTCCTGCTGAACTCCGGCTGCGGCGCACAGCCTGTGGGTAAGACAGCGCTCCTATTGTCCACGCTGCTAAAATTAGCCCACAGGTAATGATGTCCACGGCTGGGTGTTTCACGTGTAGGTGTGTGGGGTGAATCTGGCTCCTCAAGAGCTGCGTTTAGAGAAGTTGAGTGTAGATTTACACCAGTGTGACTGTGGCTGCGTTCCCGTCAGCGCTCAGGTCTTGTCGGGGCAGGTTTGCGGTGGAGCCTCTTCAGACGAGTTGCTGCCTCAGACCAACGCTATTTCTGAGAAGGAGAGGTTGTTTAAAGTGTCATGTTTGTTCTGGTAGATGAATGGGAGAAGGAGCCGGTGTACTGGAACGATCAGGCCAGGAGGACGCTTCAGACGGCCCTGACGCTGCCACTGCGAGCGCACCGCGCAAAAAACACCATCCTCTTCCTCGGCGATGGTGAGTTACAGACACACCTGAACTCAGCTCATCGGCCTGCCAAGCCAAAATCTTATCACGACAGTACCTTTTCTAAGTAATTATTAAAGTTTTTTTTTTAGATTTGAAATACACTAAGTGTTCAATATCATATTATATATATATATATATATATATTAGTGCTGGGCAACGATTAATCGCATCCAAAAAAAATACGTTGTGTGTACATAGGTGTGTACTGTGTATAATTATTTTGATAAATACTCACACATGCATGATATTAAGGAAATGTGTTATTTATAGGCTGTATAAAATATTACTATATATATATATATATACATATATACATACATGCAAATATTTGTTAAATATATACGTGCATGTTTGGGTATTTATATATATACAATATAATTATACACAGTACACACACAAACACAAACTTTTATTTTGGATGCTAGTTGCCCAGCACTAATATACACACTTTAGCATGAGAAGGACAGAAATAATATACTTTAAAATAATATACTTAAGTGCTGAAAAAAATTCATTGCAATTTAAATTTTAGTTCAAATTTATATTAAATGCAAAAGTTTACCTAAAGGTGCAGTGTGTAAGTTTTAGTGGCATCTAGTGGTGAGCATGCGAATGGCAACCAACAGGTGGCCTACAGGAAGTAATGTTGTCGTCTGACTGTGCGTTCACACCAGACGTGAATAGCGCGTCAAATTCGCGATTACGGCGTAGTTATATACTTGAACACCAGTGTTGTAGTCGAGACCACCTCACTCGAGTCCGAGTCGACACCAAGACCAGAGAGAGTCGAGTCCGAGTTGAGTCCGAGACCAGAGACGGTCGAGTCCGAGTCGAGACCGAGACCAGTGAGGGTTGATTACCTAATTTACTTTTATTTACTTAGAGAAATCCTTTTTTTTTTACTGAATTTACTTAGAGTTTAAAAAATATGATCAGTTTAGGGTAAAAAGGCCACATAGTAGGTGGTGTTAAAAGTAATTTTATTACAATTTGTCATGCGCAGTTGCGCACTAGAAAATCACCAATCACTGGGCATGTCAATCAATTTAAAGAAATATTTTATTAACATACATTATTAATATTTTTAATTGAACTCGAGTGGACTCGGGAATAATTCCGAGTCCTAAAAAAAAATGTTCGAGTACGAGTCAATTCCGAGTCCAAATGGACACGAGTCCATGACAAGACCAAGACCATTAAAATATGGTCTCGAGACCGAGTCCGAGACGAGTCCGAGTCTCGAGTACTACAACACTGTTGAACACTTTGAATCCATTCGCACGTCAATTTCGCTCTTGAAAAAACAAAAAAGTTTGAAGCGATATTTACACGCGACAGAATCGAAACCCGTGTGCGGCCATATATTTTTATGTTATTCGAGCATTCATCGAGAGAGTCACCGCTCTGTATTTGCTCTGGAGATCAGAACAGCAGCGTGGGGATCATCATCGCTGTGTTTGTGTCCACCGTGACCCTTCGGAGGCGAACCATTCGGCAAGTTTCACCATTTGCTCGCGCTTGGATGACGGCCGCTGTCAGCGGTACTTCCGCCTGTCCCGCGCCCAGTTTGATGACCTGTTGTCCCGCATCGGAGCGAGGATCACCCTCGCCCTCATTCATCTAATCTGTCATTTATTTTTGTTTTGATGATAAATAGAGCCAGCCTCCAAAAGTTATTAACCTGTCCTGTGATTTTTTTTTCTCTCTCACGTCCAGACACAAACTTATGCTCATGTATGTTGGTTGTCTTTACATCATAATAATATTTCATATAATCTAGATATGGAATAAACAACATTCAATAGAAAATGAACCTGTCTCGTATATTGAAATAAAGTTTTAAGTGATCAAATATTTGCTTTGTTGTGCATTAGAACCACACCAGGCATTTAGTCATATTACAAAATAATTTATTGAAGCATCAGATACTTCACCACGTGAGCAAGCAGCTAGTCTCCTGATTGGTTAATGAATTGACGCCAAAGTTCAGATTTTTCAACTCTGGCGGCACAACGCGTGAATGCACAAATAGCACTAACTAAAACATTCACACTTAATGCGCCAGGCGCTAAATTTGTGCGAACTTGACGCGCTAATTAGGCGTATTCGCGTCTACCGCGCCGCGCTCTACGCCTCATTTGCGCCGCAGGATTTTTTACGTGCGTAATGCGTCTTTGCATTGACTTAACATTGAAATCACTCGCGCCTGACGCGCTATTCGCATCCGGTGTAAACAGCAATGCGGTTTCTTTACAAAGATAAATGAACAATTAGGTTAATTTATTGTTCAGTAAAACAACGTTATTGGGAATATTATTGTTACTAGTTCATCATTGTGCTAGTGTTTTATTCGCTGACATTAGCTAGTTTCTTTCCACAAAGAACAACACAGTGATGAAACGCGCTCTGTAGTGGTTTTTCCGGTAACACTTTAGAATACGGTTCCTTCGTTAATGAATAACTACACAAGAACTAATGAGTAACACAATATTAACAATCTAGTAACTATTATTAACTAACAAGAAACTCTGATTAACGAACTAGTAAGTAATAGCGCACAGACGAAAGTGGTAGTTCACTATTAAGTAATCAATAACTACTATTTTTTTAATACTTCCCAGAGAACTACTGAAAAAGTTTATTAACAATCTAGTAACTACTATTAACTAAAATAAATTCTTATTAACGAATTAGTAAGTAATAGCTCACAGATGAAAGTGTTACTAGATACTTCTGTGGGAATTACTAATTATTTGGATCCGTATTATAAAGTGAAGATCATTGGAACTAACTAGTAATTACTCAAGTTTTACCAAAGACATTTTCTAAAAGTATACTAAAGTTCACCAAAAATTTCAAACGGTTTGCACAAATCATGACTAGATCATGTAGTAACACTTGAGTAATTACTAGTTAGTTCCAATGATCTTCACTTTATAATACGGATCCAAATAATTAGTAATTAATAGCTCACAGATGAAAGCGTTACTAGATACTTCTGTTGGAATTACTAATTATTTGGATCCGTATTATAAAGTGAAGATCATTGGAACTAACTAGTAATGACTCAAGTGTTACTACATGATCTAGTCATGATTTGTGCAAACGTTTGAGATTTTTGGTGAACTTTAGTATACTTTTAGAAAATGTCTTTAGTAACACTTGAGTAATTACTAGTTAGTTCCAATGATCTTCACTTTATAATACAAATCCAAATAATTAGTAACTCCCACAGAAGTATCTAGTAACACTTTCATCTGTGAGCTATTACTTACTAATTCGTTAATAAGAATTTCTTTTAGTTAATAGTAGTTACTAGATTGTTAATAAACTTTTTCAGTAGTTCTCTGGGAAGTATTAAAAAAATAGTAGTTATTGATTACTTAATAGTGAACTACCACTTTCGTCTGTGCGCTATTACTTACTAGTTCGTTAATCAGAGTTTCTTGTTAGTTAATAATAGTTACTAGATTGTTAATATTGTGTTACTCATTAGTTCTTGTGTAGTTATTCATTAATGAAGGAACCGTATTCTAAAGTGTTACCGTTTTTCCTTTTAGGGCTACCGTAAACATGTTGGCACAAGATGGATGTAAGAGGACCCGCAGTCAGCTCATTCTTAGGTAATAAGAACATAATGGTTCATTATATAAGGTCTTTATTCACCACTGAAAACATAGTTATCTTTATTATATTGCCTTTCTGTCTACAGATCATCCTAAATATGGCACACTGCACCTTTAAAAAGCACTATTTTTACCCAGCAGAGCTTAAGTACATCTTTATGTGTCATTTCACAATTACTTTGAAAATTAGTACTGACAAGCACTTGCAGCAAACTAAAATATACTTTAATGTCTTTTCAATTGAAACTTGTGTCATATATTTATATATATTTGTAATGAGAAAGATGCAATCAAGTACATTTAAAATATATTAGCTTTATATGTGATATTGAATAACACCGTTAAAATCATAATTAAACAGTTTACATGTGCTTTAATATGTTAGTCAACATATAACTTTAAAGCATGTTAAAATATTTTTAAAGTCGCCCTGTGGTGAAAATCAAGCTTTTAATGTTGTTTATATGTCTATGTGGTGTTTTTAATAAATTTTAAGACAAACCATGTGTAAATTCATAAGTCGACAGCATTGCTGAGTATTTTCTGCTTAAAACTGCAGTGAACCAAAGACAGTTTCAAAAACAGGGTGTGAAATCGCTGGTGTTTCTGACGTCACAAACGACCTCGTAACCAATCAGGTCAATGTGTGATCGTCAACCAGTGGATCTCTGAGCTGAGTGAGTGAGTGGAGGTGGGGCTCATTTGCATATTCATAGAACCAGCATACTAAATGAGGCAAGGGTTTTTTTTTTTTCAAATTTAAAAAAGTTTAAATATGTAATTTTGGTTGTCAAGGATTAGTTTTACGGGATAAAATTATTGACTTGAGGGGACTTTAAAACAAAATTAATTGTGCGTGTTAAGAAACATTCATGAAAGTATACTCTTTAGTCTCTCTAAGTGGCCCTTTATTTAATCAATAATATATTATCTGCAAGTATAGTCTTTTTAAATTTACTTCTAAGCAGTGTTGGGAAAAATAATGCATTATAATATTGCGTTACTACCTAAAAAAACTACTTAGTTACTTTTTATGGAAATTAATGTGTTGCGTTGCTTTTGTGTTATCTTTTCTCTCTTGGACTGGGCTTGTTTGTTAGTTTTTAATAACAAAAAGCTATATTTTTGGCAAATAAAAGTGAAATGAATAATCCTTAGGCAAGGCACATCCACTCCTGTACAGTAGAGGGCGCTGCTCAAACTAATCTTTCAGCTTCTGTAAAGAAGTAAAGAAGAATAAAGATTAACACTCTTCAGCAATAAAAACAGTTATGCAGTAATTTTGTAGTCATTGGTTAATAAAGTGAGATTAAATACATAAAGTATATTTGTGTTATTTAACATTTAATTTTTGCAGATTTGTGTAATATTCTGAGTTTGCGTTTCACTGTTTTTATTCACTCTGAGGAATACTGAATATGTGAGATGAGTAAATGCATGATGACATCTACACTAACACCATGTTCACACACGCCTCTGCACTTACTCACGATCCCTCTCAACATGAGGACAGGGGAGCTGTCTGTCCATACATGGAGAAACAAAGTGACCGGCATACCTATTTGGAAAAAGTACCTCAGATATTTTGTTGTAATTTTAAAGGTTATCCGTTACTTTACTAGTTACTTGGAAAAAAGTAATCTGATCATGTAACTTGAGGTACTTGTAATGCGCGGTTCTAAAATTTGAAGTGCACATTCAATACAATTAAATTCACAAGGGTTTATAACTTAATTTTGATGCTTTTATCTGTATGACAATTTTTACACTGATCTCTTGAATGTTTAATTTATTGATTTGGTAAGTAGTATAATAGTAAAATATTCTTACCCCATATTTTACTGTAGAGTTTATGAATGGTTTTGGGCTAAGCTGTGATATGTGGCATCAGGCGGTGTGTGTGTTCCTCCTTCAGGGATGGGTGTGTCTACGGTCTCCGCCGCCCGTATACTGCGAGGTCAGATGGAAGGACGCTCGGGGGAGGAGACTGTTTTGGCCATGGATACGTTTCCATACGTTGCCCTGTCAAAGGTCTAACGATTCTCATTTCCCACACTGTTTTATCACTATGCTAATCAGCCGAAGCGATCATTAGTGACAGTCTTGTTATGCAAGACGAAGTCATGTTTTGATTATGTGGTGTATGAAAAAGTTTAAGAATGCATTTTTCGTTTTCCATGTCGAGATTCTGGGATATCGGAAAAAATACAAACGGCACCTTTAATAGCAAATAAAGGAAAAAAATTCAGATAGTACTTGCAACCTGTGCCCCTGAATGATAAACCGAGGAGATTGTTTGTCTTGTTATTAACAGCAGTCTGTTTTTAACGCTATAATTATTTAAAGTTATGTGATGTGTTTCCAAACAGACGTATAGTGTTGACAAGCAAGTGGCGGACAGTGCCAGCACGGCAACTGCGTACCACTGCGGCGTGAAGGCCAACGCCAAGACGGTGGGCTTGAGTGCCAAAGCCGTGGCCTATGAGTGCAACACAACATTCGGCAATGAGGTTTTCTCAGTGTTGCATCGTGCCAAATCACAAGGTAGGCTAATTTTCATTTAGCCTCACTGTCACAATGTTGTTGTTGTTGTTCTTAAAGGGAAATTCACCCAAAAATACTGAATTTGATTTTTATTCATGCCTTAAAAAAGCTTGAATGTAACTCCCTTGCCACAAACTCTTAAAAATCAAGGTGGTTTTCACAGCAATGCGCTAGAAGAACAATTTTTGGTTCCCAGAAGCAACTTTTAACGAAAACTTCTTAAAGGGATAGTTCACTTTGAAATTAACTTTTGATATGTTTTACCTTACCTCAAGGGCATCCAAGATGTAGGTGTCTTTGTTTCCACAGTATTTTCAATTTTGACGTTTTTCAGTCAAACCATTGTTGTCTATTAGTCATACACTGGAGGCTAAGGTGGTCCACCAAAGAGCATGCATAGAGAAGTCCAAATTAAACATGATTTAATGACTCGTAAATGTAAGTACACATTGATGGCCTAAGACACGAAACGAGCGGCTTTTGTGAGAAAACGAACAGTATTTATATCGTTTTTACCTCGTGTAATCACAGTGACGTCCAAGTGATCTGAATCAGTTGTGCAATGTCCAACTGAACCGAACTGAATCAGTTTGTTACGCCGGAATTGATCGCTTGCGTGTGACGTCACTCAATATTTACACGGAGATTTCGGAAGTTTTACCTTTTCCTAAACATATTTAAATATACCGAAATCGTCTTCCATTGCGGTTTCCCGTATATCTAAATATGTTTAGTGAAAGGTAAAGCTTCCAAAATCTCTGTATAAACAAAGAGTGACGTAGGCGCGCAAGCAATCACTTCCGGCGCATGCGCAGACTGAAGCGCCCGTGCCGTCAGATCATTTTGTCATGGCTATGATTACAAGAGGTAAAAACGATATGAATACTGTTTGAGGGCTAAATGGATCCCCTTGAGGTAAGCTAGAACATATCAAAAATTAATTTCAAAGTGAACTATGCCTTTAAAATAACCTTTTGATTTTCTTGGTGTGAAGATCATCTTAATAATCTAAAGAACTTTTGTGGAATGGAAATGTTCCAGGGATAATAAAGGTTCTTAGTTTTGAACTATCCCAGACAGCTTCTTTATTGGCGTCTATCCCAAACTGCAATAGTGTCGGCCCAGATCCGGCCCACATCCGGCACATTGGGATTACACGCGTACCAGATGTGGGCCAGATCTGGGCAGACTATTGGCGCTTTCCATTACCAGTACCAGTTTGCCTCGACTCGGCTCGCTTTTCACTCCCTTTTCCATTGCAGACTGTACCACCACAAATAGTACCTGGTTGTCATAGCGATGCCTTTCTCTCCTCGTTGCCCTTTCAAGCTCTCGCTGGATCCTCTCTTCGGCAAACAAACAAAGGAAAGTCGGCACCTCCTCGTTTGACCACGGCGTATTCTTCCGAGTTGCCATAAAAATAATAGTTAGTTTAGTAACTATGACCAAACTATTTAAAATTGGAGGGGTTATTCTAGATACTCCATCTGGCGTGTGCAATGATGACGCAGCGAGTGGTGATGACTCTCTCTGACCAATCAGCAGTCGGCATTGTTTTCACGTCACATTTTAGTACCGGCTCAGCTCGCCTTAACTCGCTCACAACCTCGCTGGACGTGATACAAAAAAAAGTACCTGAAAGCAGGTACAGGTACAACTTTTACACAGTGGAAAACCAAACAATGCGAGCCGAGTCAAGTGAAGTCAAGCTGGTACTGTGTAGTGGAAAAACGCCATTAGTTTTGAACTATCCTAGACAGCTTCTTTATTGGCGTCTATCCCAAACTTAACCCGGTCTCATCCCAAGACGTCATATAACTGACGTTTTGGGACGTCTTTTGACCATACGTCAATATTCGCCTTTTTAGGGCCCCCTTAAACGTCGGTAGATGAGGTTATGAGATCCTAACTCTACCCCAGACCTAAACTTAACCCTAAACGTAACCCGTCACCTAACTGACGTTAAAGGTAAAGCGTCAGTTGTATGACGGCCCGGGATCGCCATCTACCGACGTTTAAGGGGGCCCTAAAAAGGCGGATATTGACGTATGGTCAAAAGACGTCCCAAGACGTCAGTTATACGACTTTTTGGGATGAGACTGTGTTATATAGTGTCGGCCCAGATCCGGCAGAACATCCGGCACATACGCGTACCAGATGTGGGCCAGATCTGGCCGACAATGTTGCAGTTTGGGATAGATGCCAATAAAGAAGCTTCATTTTGAAGAGTTCAGATTGGTGTGATCGTGTGTGGTTGTGTGTGTACATCAAGGAAAGTCTGTGGGCATTGTGACGACCACCAGAGTCCAGCACGCGTCCCCCGCGGCGGCCTACGCCCACTCCGTGAGCCGCAGCTGGTACAGCGATGCCGACGTGCCCTCCGCCGCCCGCCGCGAGGGCTGCTCCGACATCGCCACGCAGCTTGTGACCAACACCGACATTGATGTGAGCCCCAGTGTTTCATGCCAGAGGTTCAGAAATAACTGCTTGTGATGGTATTCTGCACAGCTGCACACACAAATAATTACTCTTCGAATTACTCTCCTTTGCTCGCTCAAACGGTTTATATAAATGAACAGACTCACAGAAATGATTCACCATTGATTCGCCATCGCCATAGAGTTTTTTAGACATTTCAAGTTTGATACTGTCTATTTGTCTATTGGTCTATTTTAACATCTTTACTTTAAAGCTACACTGTGTGATTTTTACCCCCATCTAGCGGTGAAAAGGTATATGACCATCCAGTGAATATTAGTTTCTGTTCCTCTCAATTCCGATTTCATTTTAACTCCTACGGTGGCCAATGTAGTCCAAGATTATCATGGCTTCCAGTTCAACCTCGTCCATGAGTGTTAACTCAAACATAAACGCGAAAGGCGAAGCTTGAATTAACGGGTATGTCCCTCTTTGGCTAATGTACTTTCAAGATGGAGAACCCCTTACCCATATGTATTTTCAAAGGCATATTATACACTCACAAGAATACTTTATTACTTGAACGAAGTAAATATACATTAATGAGCACTTATATTTTTGAAAGAACTAAGTGTTTTTAGCTAAGAATAAACTAAAAGAGTTACACAGTGTAGCTTTAACTCGTTTAATCAGACTGGTCAAAGTTACATTTTTAGTTGACAAACTAGATGCAACGCTTACGAAAATGTTGTGTGCTTAAAGGATTAGTTCACCTCAAAATGAAAATTTCCTGATAATTTACTCGCCCCAATGCCATCCAAGGTGTTCATGTCTTTCTTTCTTCAGTAGAAAAGAAATTACGTTTTTTGAGGAAAACATTTCAGGATTTTTCTCCACACAATGGACTTCAATTGCAACCGACATGTTGAAGTCAGTGTAGTTAGCTTGTAGCATAGCTAGCAATCAGTAGCATGACTGTTGTTTAACTTCTTCAAACCTAACCTTTAGTTAACCTAAAGGTTCAAAGTAGCTTTTTCGGCAATCTAGTGACTTAAATACACAATGGCATCATTTAAATACCAAATGCATCAGTGAATTACCTAAATGTTAACCTTTTTGAGACGAGAGGTTGGTAAATGTCAAAATGTGTCTCTGTTGAAGGTAATTCTTGGCGGTGGCCGTATGTACATGACGCCCAAGGGTACGCCTGACCCCGAATACCCCACTTCGTCCTCTCGCAAAGGGGATCGCAAAGACAAAAGGAACCTCATTGACATTTGGCTAAATGCTCGTAAGGTATCGGCAAGAAATCCATTTACCACAGCACACATTTGTCATTGTAAACCCCTGCTACAAGCTTGTCTGTTTGGTTTGTAAGGGAAGGAATGCCCAGTATGTGTGGAACAGAGAGCAGCTTAATGCGGTGGACGTTAAAACAACAGACTGCCTGATGGGTAATGCCAGTTCACCAGGATTCTGAGTTCGTTGTCAAGTCTGCCACTGTGATATCCTCATTCATTTTTCTCACTCAGGTCTGTTTGAACCCAAAGATATGAGATTTGAAGTGTTTAGGAATCGTACCCGTGACCCCTCTATTGTGGACATGACAGAGAAAGCCATTCAGATCCTCAGCAAGAATCCGAAAGGGTTTTTTCTCTTTGTGGAAGATGAGTATTTATCATTTCCTGTGGTGTTACTGCTTTATCAATATATTTTGCTAACAGTGAAACACATCTCTGTTTGTGTTTACGAGGTAGAATAGACCATGGACACCATGACGGCGTTGCCAAGCTTGCTCTGACTGAAACCATCATGTTTGACCGGGCAATTCAGAGAGCATCTGAGCTGACCAGCGAATCGGACACTCTCACTGTCGTCACTGCAGATCACTCCCATGTCTTCACCTTTGGTGGAAACACTCCCCGAGGGAACCCTATTTTTGGTAGCTTACTTCCTGTCTTTACATTCAAATAATGACAATGTTAAGAAAGGTACACTAACATGGTACATTAGGTACACTAACCTTTGGTTAGCAAGCTAACCGATTAACCTACTAGCTTAGCATATTCATGTTTTGTGTTTTTTTTGTGGATTTTTGGGTAGTTATATTCAGTTAATTCACTTGTTAAGAAAGGTACACTAACATGACCTATTCATTTTGTAAAAAGTACTCCAGATCCTCCCTATATTTCACTTTCTGTGTGCTTTCAGCCTTTGGTTAGCAAGCTAACTGATTAGCCTACTAGCTTAGCATATTCATATTTTGTATTTTTTTGTGGATTTTTGGGTAGTTATAATCAGTTAATTCACTTGTTAAGAAAGGTACACTAACATGACCTATTCATTTTGTAAAAAGTACTCCAGATCCTCCCTATATTTCACTTTCTGTGTGCTTTCAGCCTTTGGTTAGCAAGCTAACTGATTAGCCTACTAGCTTAGCATATTCATATTTTGTATTTTTTGTGGATTTTAGGGTAGTTATAATCAATTTATTCACATGTTAATAAAGGTACACTAACATGACCTATTCATTTTGTCAAAAGTACTCTAGATCCTCGTTATATTTCACTTTCTGTGTGCTTTCAGCCTTTGGTTAGCAAGCTAACTGATTAGCCTACTATTTAGCATATTCATATTTTGTATTTAGTGGAGTTTTGGGTAGTTATAATCAGTTAATTCACTTGTTAAGAAAGGTACACTAACATGACCTATTCATTTTGTCAAAAGTACTCTAGATCCTCCCTATATTTCACTTTCTGTGTGCTTTCAGCCTTTGGTTAGCAAGCTAACTGATTAGCCTACTAGCTTAGCATCTTCATATTTTGTATTTTTAGTGGATTTTAGGGCAGTTATAATCACTTTATTCACTTGTTAAGAAAGGAACACTAACATGACCTATTCATTTTGTCAAAAGTACTCTAGATCCTCCCTAAATTTCACTTTCTGTGTGCTTTCAGCCTTTGGTTAGCAAGCTAACTGATTAGCCTACTAGCTTAGCATATTCATATTTTGTATTTAGTGGATTTTTGGGTAGTTATAATCAGTTAATTCACTTGTTAAGAAAGGAACACTAACATGACCTATTCATTTTGTCAAAAGTACTCTAGATCCTCCCTATATTTCACTTTCTGTGTGCTTTCAGCCTTTGGTTAGCAAGCTAACTGATTAGCCTACTAGCTTAGCATCTTCATATTTTGTATTTTTAGTGGATTTTAGGGTAGTTATAATCACTTTATTCACTTGTTAAGAAAGGAACACTAACATGACCTATTCATTTTGTCAAAAGTACTCTAGATCCTCCCTAAATTTCACTTTCTGTGTGCTTTCAGCCTTTGGTTAGCAAGCTAACTGATTAGCCTACTAGCTTAGCATATTCATATTTTGTATTTAGTGGATTTTTGGGTAGTTATAATCAGTTAATTCACTTGTTAAGAAAGGTACACTAACATGACCTATTCATTTTGTCAAAAGTACTCTAGATCCTCCCTATATTTCACTTGTGCTTTCAGCCTTTGGTTGGCAAGCTAACTGATTAGCCTACTAGCTTAGCATCTTCATATTTTGTATTTTTAGTGGATTTTAGGGTAGTTATAATCACTTTATTCACTTGTTAAGAAAGGAACACTAACATGACCTATTCATTTTGTCAAAAGTACTCTAGATCCTCCCTAAATGTCACTTTCTGTGTGCTTTCAGCCTTTGGTTAGCAAGCTAACTGATTAGCCTACTAGCTTAGCATATTCATATTTTGTATTTAGTGGATTTTGGGGTAGTTATAATCAGTTAATTCACTTGTTAAGAAAGGTACACTAACATGACCTATTCATTTTGTAAAAAGTACTCCAGATCCTCCCTATATTTCACTTTCTGTGTGCTTTCAGCCTTTGGTTAGCAAGCTAACTGATTAGCCTACTAGCTTAGCATATTCATATTTTGAATTTAGTGGATTTTTGGGTAGTTATAATCAGTTAATTCACTTGTTAAGAAAGCTACACTAACATGACCTATTCATTTTGTCAAAAGTACTCTAGATCCTCCCTATATTTCACTTTATGTGTGTTTTCAGCCTTTGGTTAGCAAGCTAACTGATTAGCCTACTAGCTTAGCATCTTCATATTTTGTATTTTTAGTGGATTTTAGGGTAGTTATAATCACTTTATTCACTTGTTAAGAAAGGTACACTAACATGACCTATTCATTTTGTCAAAAGTACTCTAGATCCTCCCTATATTTCACTTTCTGTGTGCGTTCAGCCTTTGGTTAGCAAGCTAACTGATTAGCCTACTAGCTTAGCATCTTCATATTTTGTATTTTTAGTGGATTTTAGGGTAGTTATAATCACTTTATTCACTTGTTAAGAAAGGAACACTAACATGACCTATTCATTTTGTCAAAAGTACTCTAGATCCTCCCTAAATTTCACTTTCTGTGTGCTTTCAGCCTTTGGTTAGCAAGCTAACTGATTAGCCTACTAGCTTAGCATATTCATATTTTGTATTTAGTGGATTTTTGGGTAGTTATAATCAGTTAATTCACTTGTTAAGAAAGCTACACTAACATGACCTATTCATTTTGTCAAAAGTACTCTAGATCCTCCCTATATTTCACTTGTGCTTTCAGCCTTTGGTTGGCAAGCTAACTGATTAGCCTACTAGCTTAGCATTTTCATATTTTATATTTATAGTGGATTTTAGGGTAGTTATAATCAATTAATTCACTTTTTTTTTAGCATAAACCTGAATTTCCAATTGAAACTGTCCTAAATCTTGAATGCTTTGGAGCACAGACTTCAGCTTGGTCTCTTTTTAAAGAGGGCACTTGGCAGATTATTGCTGAAGAGAAAAACAGTTTAACAAAGCCAACATAGAATTAGAATATAATAGAAATTTTGTTTAATTATTGAAATAAAAAATGCATAAAAATACTCATTTTCATTTTTATATGAAATTATTTTATATGCAATTTTATATGGAATGTCCAAAACATGTTCCAAAAGTAAAATGAAAACATGTAAATCTAAACAAGTTGTGTTCCAGATTAGAGGTTGATATCTAAAAAAAATTAGCTTTCATTAAGATTTTGTTTGTGCACAAACATTTCAAAATATTTCCAATACCAAACATTTCCACTAGATGAAATAGTGACAATTGATGAATAGTGATGAAATTGTGAAAATAGTAGGTTTGACCCAAGGGGCTTCATGCACTTTTTGACTTGTTATTTGTCTTTCAGGCCTGGCACCCAAGAAGGCTGAGGATAGTCTTCCCTACACTAGTATCTTGTATGCTAACGGACCAGGATACGGTCATGTGAATGGAACAAGAGGAAACGTTTCAGCTGTGGATTATTGTAAGCGTTCACATAGTTTAGTACCCTAATTACAGTACCTGTACCCTCTTAAAAATAAAGGTTGTTGATTGGCATCTTACGTTCCATGAACTTTTAACGTCCATGGAATCTAAATGTCCTTTATTTTTACAAATGCATACATACATGTATTTATATATTTATATGCAACTATCATAGATGATCTTATTCTGCTTGTAGTTGATGAAGAGTACATGCAACAAGCGGCGGTTCCTTTAGAATCAGAGACACACGGAGGGGAAGATGTGGCTATCTACGCCAAAGGCCCGATGGCTCACCTCTTTCATGGAGTGAAGGAGCAGAACTACGTGGCCCACGCCATGGCGTACGCAGCGTGCCTGGAGCCGTACACCAACTGTCCGCTACGTCTCCACGACTCCGGCGGCTGTAGAAACACACTCTCAGCGCTCCTCAGCGCACTGACCGCTGGGTTTTGGCTTGTCGCACGATGACAGACTCCATTACGTGAGCGATTGAGGCCCTAGGACTCTTTTGGGCTGTTTGGAGATTTATAACCCAAATTGTTTATATTGAAGTTTGGTTCTCTGCAGATGTGTAATGCTGTGTATATAAATGTAAAGGTTTTTGTTTGTTGTTTACATTTATTTTATAACCAGATTTTTGTATATATTGTACAATGGAAAGCTCTTTTGCACTGTGATTATACATTTCAAACATGTGAGATCAATAAACTTTCTAAAAGAAAACATTAGTCATTTTGTCAGTGTTATCAATTAAATAGCACTTTCATAATTGCTGTCGTATTCATTGAAAGTGATTGTTACTGTTCGTGTAATTCAAATGGAAACAAGATAATTTTTCTTATCCCATTGGCAAATAATTTAGCTTGTTTTAAGCAAAAAAGTCACTTAAAGGAGTAGTTCATTTTTTTAAAAAAAAAAACTTGATAATTTACTCACCCCCATGTCATCCAAGATGTCCATGTCTTTCTTTCTTCAGTCGAAAAGAAATTAAGGTTTTTGAAGAAAACATTCCAGGATTTTCTCCATATAATGGACTTCAATGGGAACCAAACGGTTCAAGGTCCAAAAGACAGTTTCAGTGCAAACTGTTCAAAGGGCTTTAAACGATTTCAGATGATGAATAAGGGTCTTATCAAGCCAAACGATCGTTCATCGTTCGTCGTCTGGAATAGTTTAAAGCCCTTTGAACAGTTTGCACTGAAACTGTCTTTTGGACCTTGAACCGTTTGGTTCCCATTGAAGTCCATTATATGGAGAAAATCCTGGAATGTTTTCATCAAAAACCTTAATTTCTTTTCGACTGAAGAAAGAAAGACATGGACATCTTGGATGTCATGGGGGTGAGTAAATTTTCAGCAAAAGTTTTTTTTTTAAAAGTGAACCACTTTAATTTAAAACAATTATGCCATTTTACTTACCTAGTATGTATCTTAGTTAACAACAGAACCAAAAAATCTGTTTCAAACCAGTGCAGGTTTCAGATCAGCATTCACATCATGTCAAATTGTCGTGCATGATAAGTACTCTACATGATCAACAGTGCAAGTGACCTTTGGACTGAGGCGAACTATAAAGAGAAGATTATGGATGGGTTTGACAGTCTTGAGTTTGACCATGGCCTCGACACAGACTCTTCTGATTACTGTGATATTTGCTTTAGCAGCCTTTAATGGATGTTTCTCCGCTTCTGGTAAGTGCTATGCCTCAGTTATTCCTTCTTCTCCAAACACAGATAATGACACCATGTTTCTTTTCTGGGATTAATATGAAGTGGAGGAAGAGAACCCAAACTTTTGGTATGGTAAGGCTAAAGAGGCTCTTACTGCATCCCTCTCCATGACGCCCAACACACAGCGAGCTAAAAACCTCATCCTCTTCCTCGGAGATGGTGAGTTACTCAAAACCCGATTTCTTGGTTTTGCATTGTTCTCTTTTATATTTTCATAATCTTAACAGACTCTGGATCAATTTCGCAGAGATGTACCAATTATTGTGGTGCTCAGATTTGGGGAATTTGTCAAAATTAGCATTTGTTTGAAATTGAACATAAATGCCATTACAATACATTTTCGTAGGGCTGTCAAACGATTAATTGCGATTAATCGCATCCACAAAAAAGTTTGTGTTTTACATAATATATGTGGGTGCACTGTGTATAATTATTTTGTATGTATATATATATATATATATATATATATATATATATATATATATATATAATATATATATACATATATACATATATATGCATGTATATTTAGGAAAAAAATATTATTTATATATAAAATATTTATATTTATATATAATATAAATTATATATAAATATATATACAGTAAATATATACAAATATTTCTTAAATATCTACAAGCATGAGTGTGTATTTATATATAAAATAATTATACACAGTGCACCCACATATATTATGTAAACACAAACTTTTATTTTAGATGCGATTAATCGCGATTAATCGTTTTACAGCCCTACATTTTAGATGTGAATTTCTGCAGCATAAAAGCCGTTTACATCACCAATGATAAGATGGACATGATAACTAGAATCCACGTCAACGGAAAATAATGTTCTGTTTATCTAAGTGCATGCTTTTATTATGTCGTCTGCCACTGTAAATGCTTGAGCTCTTTAAAGTCAGGGGGATTCTGATTGGCTGTCAATGTTTTTATAGTTAATCAGCCAGAAACATCTTTCTGAAAGCGATTCCAGTCTGTGCTGTTAATGTTGTGGTCTTGAAAAAAAAAAAAAAGCAAAATAAAACTAAATGAAATAAAATAATAAAATATTCAACTTAAAATGTTTAACTGAAATATATAAGCTAAGTGAAATAAGTTTAAGTACTAAAATTACTTGAACTTAAACTAAAACAAAAATAAATTAAAGTTAAACACAAATATCTAACCAATTCACCAATTCAAATTATTAATAAATGCTATAATAGTACGTACATAAATATTTACGTACTATTACTATTACGTACGTTTGAATTTTACTATTTTCATAGAACAGTTATTAAAATTGTATAGTTTTAATTATCATTCTTGGCATAAACAAGCACTGTTACACTGAGTTGGCTTAACTTAAAAAACTGTCGACAAATAAAAAAAAATTTCTTAAAAATGTATTTTTACTTATTTTTAAAACAGGTTTCCTCGCTTTTTCAAGTTAAGTAAACTCATCACGTTTTACAGCGTATAAAGTTACACTATTATTACAACGTTACTGCATATTACATGTACACGATGAACATTAGCACAAGACCTTGCTTGGGTTTATGTGCTGTGCTTTAAATTTCACGTGTAAATCACCGCTGTCAAAGTCCTAAGATACGAGATTTTACAAGACTTTAGATTAGGTAATCAGATTACTTACAGTAAGTACACACATATAGTCAATCGTGCCTATTCAGTTAATTTATCAAATGTTCAAACTCCTGGATAATACCATAATATTTAGTTAAGATCAAATGTATAATATTACTGAATGGACAAAGATAATCAATAAATAATAAATGAATCATGTCAATTTTAAATTTCTGATTTACCAGTAATACTTTTTATTTTTATTTTTTTATTATTTATTTTTATTACCATTGTCATTACCATTACCATCACCATCCCACTCCCCACTACCACCATACTGCCCATATTGTATTGGTATATTTTTATTTCCATCCTTCCTCCTATGTAACAATTGCCATTGTCAATCCTGTACAAAATAAAATATGATATAATAAGATAATATAACATAAGATAATTTACCAGTAATACTTGTATATGTGTGTGTTAAACCTGTTGTTTTTGTCCCGCGGTGAGGCATGGGCATCAGCACTGTGACCGCAGCCAGGATCATGAAGGGACAGATGGACGGGAAGACCGGAGAGGAGAGTGTCCTAGCCATGGACACGTTCCCTTATCTGGCTCTCTCCAAGGTGCAGAGATGTCCCTAGAGACTGATACTGTAGATGTGAAGATGAATTACGATTAATAACGCTGCTGTCTGTGTTTGTAGACCTATAATGTGGACCAGCAGATGCCTGACAGCGCAGCCACAGCCACTGCGTATCTCTGCGGCGTGAAGGCCAACTACGGCACCCTGGGCCTCAGCGCAGCTGCCAGGCGCAAAAACTGCAGCTCCGTTAAAGGCAACGAGGTCAAGTCCATTCTCCATCAGGCCAAGATGGCAGGTAATGGCCAATACCAGCACTGAGGTCACCCATTAATGCCATTCATTCCCATGAGGTTGCAGAGTTAGGCAGATGTTATGAAATTTGAAGTGTTTTTTCTGGGGTTTTTTGCATCTAAAGATGACATCAAAACAGAAAATTAAGCATCCATATGTGGAATACACATCAAAAGCGACTTCACCTCGCATAACTTCTACTTTATATCTCAAAATTGCAACTTTATTTCTCACAATATCAAGCATTGACAATAGTTAATCATTGGCGGCACCATGGGTTCGGCACACACATTCTTAATCTTAAAGGAGTAGTTCACTTTTAAAAAAAACTTTTGCTGATAATTTACTCACCCCCATGTCATCCAAGATGTCCATGTCTTTCTTTCTTCAGTCGAAAAGAAATTAAGGTTTTTGATGAAAACAATCCAGGGTTTTTCTCCATATAATGGACTTCAATGGGAACCAAACGGTTCAAGGGCCAAAAGACAGTTTCAGTGCAAACTACAAACTGTTCAAAGGGCTTTAAACGATTCCAGACGATGAATAAGGGTCTTATGTAGCGAAACGAGCACTCATTTAAAAAAAAATAACAAAGTTTAAGTTTTATAAGCTAAATGGTCGCCTTGCTCTGTTCTGTGATGAGCGTTCGTGACTCTCCTGTTCGAACTCATTCATCAAAATGAACAAATCTTTTTTCTTGTCATTTGGTTCATTTAGCGAACAAAATGAACGAGTTGACTCGGGAAAAGATTTGTTCATTTTGATAAATAAGTTTGAATAGGAATGTCACGAACGCGCAACACAAAACAGAGCAAGGCGACCATTTGAGCTTATAAAATTTAAACCTTAGTGATCGTTTCGCTTGGAATCGTCTGGAATCGTTTAAAGCCCTTTGAACAGTTTGCACTGAAACTGTCTTTTGGATCTTGAACCGTTTGGTTCCCATTGAAGTCCATTATATGGAGAAAAATCCTGGAATGTTTTCATCAAAAACCTTGATTTCTTTTCTACTGAAGAAAGAAAGACATGGACATCTTGGATGACATGGGGGTGAGTAAATTATCAGCAAAAGTATTTTTTTAAAGTGAACTACTCCTTTAAATCTTGACATTTTAACTTTATTTCTCCTCATTTTAAACTTCAGAGAATCACAATTGCTTTTTTCTTATAATTGATACATTTCACAATGTGCACTTTAAATCTCCATTTCTTCTGAACAGCGAATTTTTTTTGTACTTGGTACATTATTTCGGACAATTATCTTCCTCATTTTTAAGCAAGATGTGAAAAGTTTATCCAAATGTTGTCTACTTGTATACCAGTTGAGTTTAAAACACCTTTAGTCTCCCAAAATATTCACAGACAGAAAAAAGTGGTATAACTTTATTTGTCTATTATCTTGCATGGATTTTGATAACTATAATACTGTAAAAAAATATTGTTGGTATAAGTAACCTGTAACCTACATATATATATTGCAATGTAATTTTGATTGCAGGCAAACTTTGAACTAATGACTTATTATAC